ATCTACCATCTTTAAAATATGTGATGAATGATTCCCTCCAATAATTCTCATCCACTACATTTCTTTAGCCAGCTTTGTCAGTGCATCGACCTTGTCATTTTCATCACTTGTAATCCTAGTTAGGGTTACATCAGGTATTTTTTATAAGAGTTTCAAAGCATAGTCATGATATGAGATTAGCTCTGGCTTATTAATTTTAAAATTATCTGCTATTTACTTAATTATAAGTTGAGAATCTCCATACATTACAGGAAATTTTGCTCATTACCGGCGGTTTTTGCCGGCGATTTACTTGTAAATACCGACGGTTTTGAATAAAATCGACGACATTTCGGCAGCTATTAAACCGCCAGAAAAAACGGCATCGGAAATCGTTGCCGGCAGCATTTTTTCGGCGATTAATTTCACCGACGGCTTCCCGACCGTCCGACCGCCGGTAAAAATACCGTCGTTTGATCGCCGGTAGACTGCCAGGAAACTTATCGGCAGCTAACCGGCGGTCATAGCCGAAGGAATTGCAAGCGGTTTTAGCCGCCGGCGTGTCGCCGAACAACTGTCGGACAGCGTTGGCAAATCGCCGGTAAAATACCGGCGGTTATAAGAGATTGCCGACGGCATCAATGAGCCGTCCGGTATCGACTTTTCCGGCGGCTAAACCGTCGGTTAGCGGCCGGAAACCTGTAGCACCTGAAAAAAAATTGACAACCTCCCCTCTTTTAATTGAGGGATTTTCACCCTAAACTCTAAACCTGCACAGAAAATAATAATCATAATTTTGGTTAATTGCAAGCTCAAGACCCGCTATTAGAGCTTTATATTCAACTTAATTATTAGTGAAGGATTCTATCAAGTTGTAGGAGCATCGAAGTATATATATATACTGCCTTATGTGGTTTTGAATAAGGCTGATGCCCACCTGAACTATTGGGAGCTTGGGCAAACTGAGCTGGTTTTATTAATGATACTCCATCGAAATAGATCTCCCATTCTTGCAGGGTTTTCTTTTTCCTCCACTTCAAGTATTTGCTAATCTTATAACTCGTCATTAAGTGGAGATTCTGCAGGTAAATGTGAGCAGCTATGAAGTCAGTTAATGCTTGTCCCTTTATAGCCTTTTGTGGCATATATATTATATCAAAATGTATTAATTACACCGCCCTCTAGCTAGATGATCCTTGAGAGTGAGTCTAGTGATCATTAAAAATTTTGATGGATCCACTTTAGATATCAATGGTATCATATGGGATAACATATAATGTTGCAGTTTTAATTTTGTGTAGCAAAAATTAACGCTAAACATTGTAGATGAATGACTCATTTTATTTTTTCTCGCATGTCTGAAGATGTAGCAAAGAGACTAAAGATAATTTTATACAAAGCCAAACATATATGATTGTCTTACTTTTATTAAGAGTTATTTTTCTGTCATTCATTCTTTTTATTTCTAAAATTTTATTTTTAATTTTTGCCTCCATCAAGCTATTCGCATCAAATTTGAATTCTATTAGCTCTTTTTCTCTTGTTTGTTACTTGTTAGTGCAATTTTTCTTTTATATCCTTAATAAATAATTTTTTTTTTATTTCATTCAAAGTTTTTGACCTATGACTTCCATAACAAAAACTTATCATGGTTAATGAAATGATGTTCTTGGCATATATAAGTTTTTTTTTTTTCAAATACCAATATATTTCTCTTACATTGCATCCCTTATCAACAAATCAAACAGCCCAATTAACTCACAAAATACCAAATGGCTTCCTCCAGCTTAATATGTTCAAAAAATTATAATCAATCTTTCTGTATAAGGGAAATGGTTAGATTTAATTACTCAAGTATTACAATTCAAAATAAATACTCTTGATATATTTTTGGCATATATAAGTTGCTAAACCCTAAATAAACTTGATATAATAAACATTATTCTTTATTTTTCATTAAAAATTATTCCTTATTTTTCATTTTGTTTTTCTTAAACATTTTGAATCTAGTTTATATATGCTAAAAAGGAAGGTTCAGAATTTTTTTTTCCAAGTTCTTTACGAAACATTGCATGGATGTTAATTATCGTGATAATTGAAGTGGTATTTATTTGGATAAGTTCATCATGATATGTAAATGAAAGCGATGTTCTTTGCAAAATAGATCTTCTTTGCAACAAAACTACATTTAACTTCTTTAGTGTTGTTGCGTGCTAGAATATACGCGGCAGTAGAGTTAGAAAATATTCGTCTTAGCCTTGCACAAGTATTCCGCACACAAACAGAAAAGAGAAAATGAACACCAAGGTTTTTACGTGGAAAACCCAAAAGAGGAAAAAACCACGGGGCCTCGCCCAGTTGCAAAGTTCCACTAGTATTTGTTTGAAGTACAAAGGTTGATCCGTCTTACCGAGCCACGGTACCGCTCGATACTAAGTTCGGTATCAAACGAGATGCATTTTTATTGGGGTCTGGATTCCGCACAAAATATTTTTTTCCTGGGTTGGATTCCAATATCATTTTAATAATAGGTAGAAAGGAGAACATGATGTATATTTATGTCAATTTTATTGATATTGGGCTCTGTAGTATGTCTGATATATATTTGTAATGATATATGTCTTTTTGCCAACTCGACTTCTAATTTATATATTATTTGCTATCTGCTCCTTTTTGTGTGTAGTAGTTCTTTTTCGCAGGTTTTTGGCATGTTGATGCTTGTTGCAAGCTTAATTTTTTTCGAAAAAGATGGTGCTGATTGTTTTTATCTGGATTTTTTTTGGGTGTCAGCTCATGGCTGGCTTAGCATGTTATTAGGTTATCATGTAATTTTTATTAGAGGGAACTCTTTGCTCTTAGGTTCTTATTTTGGATTGGTTTTATAGCCCCACGGAGCGGTCTGAAGGTTCCCCTTAATAACCTTTTAATTATCTTTTTTATTAATGCGTAGGCTCTCCAAGAATTTTATCCAAAAAAAAAATCTAATTAAAAATAAATAAATTTTAATTATAATAAAGTATTCTGATATGATATGCTCAGGTCATTGAATTTTAGCCAAGCACTACTTTAGTTCCTTGAGACGGAATCCTAATGGAGTCTGGAGCAAATAGTAGAAGAATCTTACAAGAGCAGATTAAAGCCATAACATTGCTGGATCTCCTCAGTAGCTTACAAAGTATTCATTTTATCCAATTACTCTCTTATTTTGCTCATGCAGGATACATTAATTATTATGATATTTTTTATCGTTTGCTTCTACAGGAAACATAAATTTCAAAACCACAAGAGATAGAAAGGCTAAAGTACTCGTATTGGTCACTTGATAGCTATGAGGTGAGCTGCCTTTGTTATCCTAAAAAAGTTGCAACTAATTTTACTCAAATTTTCTTATAGCCTCAACATGTGAGCAAGCCCCACAACAACACCACCAGTAGTTCCCAAAACCATCATTAAGCACACATGCTAGCAACAACCTCCAATAATAACCAAAACCTGAAAAGAAAACATGAATAGATAGCAGAGAAGCAACAAGATACAAAAGGACTCAAACACTTCAATTGAACGAACAATGAAATAGCAATAGACAGCAATAGACAACAAACATTGTTGATTGATTTTTAACTATTTTTGTATAAAACCTACATAGGGTCCTACGCGATAATTTAAAAAGGAGGTTACAAGTCCTTAATGAATCATAAGCTCTCTAAAATATAACATGTAAGATAAAACCTATGAGCCAATGATTCAATCTAATATAATAAGCAAACAAAAAGAACGGGAGGCAAGTCAAACCAGCGAGAGGGCTACCCAAAAAGGGACCTGTGAAATAGCATAAGAACCTCAACAACATCCAAGTACTCCTCCATCCAATAAGAAGTAACATATATAAAAGCCACCAAGCATCAAAACATGCACAAAATCTAGAGAAAGAATAAGAAACCAAGCATAAAAATAAATGACCAATGGAAGAAGAACCCAGTAAAACACAGCAGCACCAAACCAACCAAGAACAACCAAAGCAAGAATAGAGAAAAACACCAAAGCCCACAACACCACAAGCCAAACAAAACCAAACACTAGAAGAAAACCCACAGACAAGGCCAACCAAGGTCCCCAATAGCTCATAGAAAAAAAAATAACAACTGCAGCCAAAATCCCATAAAATAATATATAGAACAGAGGAACAACGCCATCAACAACACAAAGGCCAGCTAAAAAAAAAAAACTTTATTTTTATTATTTTCCTTTCCTAAACTCATAGAGAAACCAACTTTATCAACACTACCAAAAAATAGGGTTTTCGCAGCATAAATTTTTACTTTTCCTGGCGGTTATAACCGCCTCTAAATTATTTGCAGCGGTCATTAAACCGCTGCAGAACCGCCGTGTTTGCCTTCCGCTGCAATGGCCTTCCGCAGCGGTTTTAGGACCGACGGGGTAGCTTTTTGTATTGCGTTTTTTTCGCAGCGGTTTAAACCGCCAGTAAATCCCCAGAATAATAGCGGTTTTAACCGCCACAAAGGCAAGCAAAATCGACTTAATCGGCGTTAAGCGGCGGTTTTCTGGGACGTAGTGGCGGTTATAACCGCCACAAAGGCAAGCAAAATCGACTTAATCGGCGTTAAGCGGCGGTTTTCTGGGACGTAGTGGCGGTTATAACCGCCACTAATGTCCAGAATTTTTTTTTTTAAATTTTGAAACTTGCCGTTCACACCTGCAACAAGAGAAGAGAAATCATATATAACATAGGGATTTTTTCATGGCTTCAAATAGAAATTCATATACATAGATCCAAGGTTAGGTAGAATCATCAAATCCATTAGACTAGGAATTCTTTGATGTAATTAAGTTTGATTCATGCTATATATATATATCACAAGCAAAATACAAAATAGAACATCAATTTCATAGAACATTTAAATGGCCTCACTTTAAATAGAACATCAATTTCATGCACTTTGCACTAGGACTCTATTGGCTACAAAAGTGATCTAGAAATTAAGCACCATTTACAAAAACTATTTAAGAACATAACTTTTCTACCATTATCAAACAAAATACAAAATGTTCTATACATAGTCGATGATTTATAACACAAGGAAATGAGCACAAAATAACAATATTACATTTCAAAATCAAAATAACAAAAGTTCGAAATTACATAAAATGTCTACATCACCAAAAGCATCACATCTAATACCAGTGCTCATCAGCAGACTGTCAGGCATCAGATAAATTGTCATTTCCACCCTGAAAATAATATAAAGAGAATGAGATAATAATAATCAAGCAATTTATATTTAATTTAAAAAAAAATTCATACCATTTCTGATCCTCCATGGGGTGGATGATTCCTTTGCGTTTCTTGCATAAACTGTCTCATCTCATCACGAAAAGAGGCAAATTCTCTCGCCTGATTATCACGAAATGATATGAACTCCTCTCTAAGACTAGCTATCTGTCCAAAACTGCTACCGCTACCACTACCTTCTTCATTTTTGCTTTGAGGAAAGAATCTAGTAGGCGTAACACCAAATCCCTGGGTACGAACTCTACCTGAATGTTCTGGTCCCATAACTATAGCAAAAACTCTCTCATTAGCTTCAATATTTCCTTCTTCAGGTGTAAGCCCTTCTTGGGCAAGAAGATTGCATGCTTGCGCCTACAGTTCAAAAACATATAGTTAAATATATTGAAGAATGAATTTATTAAAAAAATTGTAATAATTATATATATATACCCATCGCTGCATAGCGTCATCAGATGACCATGTCCCATCTTTATGCATCCTATTAATTTTCCATAATTGTAATCTGTCCGTAATAGACTACAAAAAATTATAATAACAATGTAAGTTTGAAAATAAATTATTTAGTAGTTATAAATAAATGTTTAATTTTATACCGTTTCCTTCTGTCTTCGAACTGAACTCACACGACCCATTGTGTGAGGACAAGTTTGTTTCTTGGCATTGGCAGAATTTTTTGCAGCCCTTTCCTGTAATACATGATAATGTTACATTCCAAATTTTAAACTATGTAAAAAAAACTTAATCACAATATTTACCTGGTCCTCCGGCTTTGACCACTTGTTAACAAGTTGACACCACTGCAACTGATCTACTCCAGCTGGAACTGTCTCTAAAATTTCCT